GTGGTCACTGTGGGTGCCAAAGAGCATTGGGGCGCCACTCGGGCACCCAGGTGAGGTGTCTTGCTGACGTCCCCAGTGGAGTCGCAGGACAGGGAACAGCGGCCGAGAAGCACGCGGGTACGTGGGGGGGCCGGGAACCCTGGCTGAGCTGGGGTGCGATGGAGCCCCTCGGCGGTGGTGGGGGGTGTCTCCTGGGCCGCTGCCCGTTGGGCCCAGGTGCCCAGGGAAGCTGAGTCCAGGCCCGGGGTGGCCAGGGCGTGTTCTGGCCTGCCTTGAGCGCTGGCCGAGCCCCATCGCTGGCCCCCCGAATCTGCCTGGCAGGAAGGTAATTCCCGCCCTGGATTGCGCAGGGGTGTGGACAGGCGCTGGAAAGACCGAGCTTCCCCTGAGGAGACTGCTCCAGCAGGCGCCGTCCTGGCGTTTCGCCCAGTCTCCCTACATGTGACCTCTTTTTGGGGACCGAGCCCCAGGACAGCGGGGCCCCGACTGCACTTCCCACAGCTGTCTCCAGGGCGGGGTCCCCATCGGGCTGCCCCGGGCAGCCACGGGGCTCTCCTGGTGCGCCGAGGGCAGGGCCCACCGCCCGAGGTCCGGGGCGGGCTGGACGGGCCTCCCACGGGCCTTGTGACCCCGGCGGCCGACTTACAGGGCGGCCGGCAGCCCCCTCCTTCCCGGCCTCTTGAGGAATTTCTCTCAGAGATCGGTCACCTGCAGTGTCACTTGGGGAAGGTGCCCGCCGGTCACTACAGGAGCTCGTAAGGCCGCTGTTGTGAGGCCCCCTCCGCCGGCCCCCCACCCTGCTGCGCCCTGGGACACCCGCCTTGCCCAGGGCGTCCAGGCCCACCGAGGTCCCCTCAGGCCCAAGTGGCTGGGCTCAGACTGCAGCCACCGGACGCTGAGTGTGCGGGACAGGAGTGGGAGCACGGGGGTGGGAGGATTGGGGTGCAGCCAATGGGAACAACACACCGCCCGGCAGAGATGGGTCACCAACAGAGCCAGGAGGCCGGGGCGGGTCGCCCTGGCCGGCTGGTCATGCAGAGCAGGCAGGAGGCCGGAGGCCAGGGACCCGTCCCAAGGCGGACGTGGGAGCCAGCCGTCAGCCCACATGGTGTCCACTGCCTGCAGGCTAACCAAACCTCAGGGGCGTGGCACCCTGCCCCCAGGAACTGCCTGGCACTGCCGGGTGACCACTCCGTGCCCTTGCAGGCAGCCCACCCCGAGGGGACGGCCAGACCACGGTAGAGGCCACGGCCCAGGCCACAACAGAGGACACGGTCCAAACCATAGCAGAGGCCACAGTCCAGGCCACGATGGAGGCCACAGTCCAGGCCACGGTCCAGGTCAGACCTACGTGGCCAAGTCGGTGCCTGGACCTGGTTGGCAGGTCCAGCTCTGGGGGCCCCTCTGGGCGTGCACTGCCACCGCCCCCCGCACGCCCTCCCTGCCCGCCGGTGCTGCGCCCCCACGCAGCGCCCGCCTGGTCCCGACTCCACGCCTGCCACTGGCCCCCACCTCGCCCTCTCCGGCACCGCCAGGCAGGGCCTCACCCCTCCCTGGGCCGGGGCTTCTGTGCAGGTGGGACCGGAAGCCCCCGGCTCCCCTCCCAGAGCTCACGGGCCTGCACCAGCTTTTGGGGGGGGCCCAGGGACCCCCAGGCTGCAACTGGTGGGGAGGACGCCCCACACCTGGCCTGAGCCCGCTCTCCCAGCAGACCGCAGCACCCCAAAAACCCACCCTTGGTTTCAGGGCTCTCAACGCATCGTCCCACGTTCCGAGGCCCTGACAGCCGCCGTGGCCCACACTGGCTGTGTATCCCGGTCAGTGCCTGGCAGAACCACCTGGGAGCGGCTGGTTTTAAACTGTCGCCTTTCTTCGAATTGATTTTTGAGGCTCAGTATTTTGACCTCTAAAACCACACTCACTGACTTAGATTTGGGGGGCTCTGGGCTCTCCTGGCCTACAGGATGAGAGTGGGGGGCTGGCCCCTGCCAAATGGCGGGCGAAGAGCCGGGAGGGCAGAGGCCCCCAACGCGTCAGGCCTGCCATCCCCCAATAAAGCCAAACCCCGAACCAGCCCCCCCAAAATAGATTCCGTCTGGCTCTGAACCTTGTGTCGGGTTAGAATTTCAACCTGGCACTTCACAGGCTTTGTATGATTAGTAAAACTCGCAGGCAATTTGCATCAGGATTATGTGCTTAACTGAAGACTTCGCAGCTCCCTGGCCGGGGGCCAGCACGGGGCTGGCACCCAACCCAGCGCCCGGCTCCAGGCGAGCGAAAAGGCAGCGGAGCGCGAGCGAGCGGCTGCCAGACTGTTTCAGAGCCGCGAGGAGGGGATGGAGCGGCGCCTGCCTGGTCTGCCAGCTGCTGTGGTGGGGGCGGAGCCCGAGGGAGCGGGTGAGGCCCCCCGGCCCTGACCACGGGCACCGGCCAGGCTGGGCGTGGCCTCGGGCTCTGTCCCAGAGCCGCCTGCGCTTACAGGCCAGCTGGGGGTGAGGGGGAGCGCCCCGGCCCGGCCTGGGGCTCTGAGCTGTTCCTGGGGAACTGCCCCCCACCCTGAGGGCTTTTGAAAACCCGAGGAGCTGGGGGGGGTGAGCTTTGGTGTTCTGCCTTTGCGTTACCGGTACCCCGAGTTCACGCTCCCTCGGCAGCGTTCTGAAGCTGGCCGGACTCGGGGTGTCCTCCGCGCCCAGATTGGCGTTCGCAGCCCCCCGCCCGGCCGCCAGCTGCTCGCAAGGGAGGTGTCACTGGGAGGGGGTGGGGGTCGCTGTCTATACAGCGGGGTTCCTGGGAGTCAGCGCCCACACCGAGCCACAGTGGACCCTGGGGTGTCATCACAGGACTGAGCCTCGACTCCCGGTGTCCGTGGGGTCACGGCGTCCCCCGGCCGGGGGCCAGGCTCCCTGCCCTACCCAAGGGAGGGGAGCCGAGCTGGGAGAAGGAGCCAGACAGGGCAAGAACCGGGGACCCGGAGCCCCGGGGCAGCGGCGTGCGAGGGCCACGGTCCCCCCAGGACGCGCGCCGGGGCTCGGCCACGGAGGGGGACGCTGGGAGACACACGTGGGAGGCAGAGTAGCCGCAGGCCAAGGGGGTCCGCGGCGGCTGCTCGTGGCGGTGAGGCGGCTCCGGCCCCTTCCCTGCCACGCCGCCACGCGGGGTCCCACGTGAGGCCACGTCCGCGCACGCGCTGGCCACTCTCGGCGCCCGGGCCGCCACGGGGTCACTTACCATGGCCGAGCCCACGCGGCTGACCTTCACGGGGTTCCCGCGGCCAGAGAGGTCCATGTTCGCTCTGTCCATCAGGTACAGACACGCGTCCAGGATGCCGTCCTCGAACTGTCGGGGTGGGGGGGGCGTGAGACGTTGTCGCCGTGGCCTGGCCACGCGGCTCCACCCTGGGAGTGAGCCCAGTGGGGGGGGCGACAGACGCAGGGGTCTCCCCATCTGCAGCCCGGTGAGGCGGCCCAGCAGCGGGCCGTGGCCGGAGCGTGGGCAGGGTAGGGAGCGCCTGTGGCCTGGACGCCGGGCGCCGGGCGCCGGCTCAGCTGGCCTCGGACAGCCAAGCTGGACCCCAAGTCCAGACACAGACCCAGGCAGCTGCCAGGCAGGGCAGGCCCCCGCTCACCCTCCTAGCAGCGTCCAGAAAGGCACCTCTGGTGGCACCCCACCCCAGTGGGCCCGCACCCCAGTAGGCCTGCACCTCAGTGCTCCACACCCCAGTGGGCCCACACCCCAGTGCCCCCCACATCCCAGTGGGCCCGCACCCCAGTGGGCCCACACCCCAGTGGACCTGCACCTCAGTGCTCCCCACACTCCAGTGCCCTCTGCACCCCACTGTCCCTGTACCCCAATTCCCCCCACACCCCAGTGCCCCCACACCCTAACGGGCCCCCTCCCTGGAGACCGGAAACCCCAGGCCTGTGGCTCAGGCACCCGGGTCATGCAGGGGCCCTGGGGCGGCCCCGGGTGTGGGGCGTCGGGGCCTGCGGGACCCTGGGTGGCCCCGGCCGCGGCTCACCTGCCCGTAGCTCCAGCTGCGGCCCTTGATGTCGCCGGCGTCGCCGTAGAAGATGACGCCCAGGTCATTGAGCACGTACTCCTCCCGCTGCCTGTCGTCATCCAGGTACACGGCGTCCTCTGGGGCACGGTCAGCCGCCGGTCAGCCGCCGCCCCTCAGGCGCGAGCTGGCCGCGCCTTGGAGCGGGGCCTGTAGCTGGCAGGCGCCCTGGTGCCCGCTTGTGTGGCTGGCACCCCACTCGGGCGACTGGCACCCCATTAGGGCGGCTGGAACCCCACTAGGGTGACTGGCACCCCACTCAGGTGACTGGCACCCCATTAGGGCGGCTGGCACCCCACTAGGGTGACTGGCACCCCACTCAGATGACTGGCACCCCATTAGGGCGGCTGGCACCCCACTCGGGCAGCTGGAACCCTACTCGGGTGACTGGCACCCCACTCAGGTGGCTGGCACCCAACTGAGGTGACTGGCAACCCACTCGGGCAGCTGGAACCCCACTCGGGCAGCTGGAACCCCATTCAGGCGGTTGGAACCCCACTCAGGTGGCTGGCACCCCACTCGGGAAGCTGGAACCCCCCTCGGGCGGCTGGCACCCCACTCGGATGGCTGGCACCCCACTCGGATGGCTGGCACCCCACTCGGACGGCTCGCATCCCACTTGGGCGCCCGGGCTTTGACGGACTCCCTCGCGGCCTGCGGGGCCCCCTGGGCCGTCCCGTCCTCTGCCTGCCCCGGCCACTCGCCGCCTCGCAGCTGAGGGCCACGCTGCCGGGACGCCACATGCCGTGTCAGTCAAGGCCACGGACGCCCGGTCACCCCGGGGCTCCTGGGCCCTGGTCACCCCGAGCCAGCGGGCCCCGCCGCTCAGGGCCACCTGCTTGCCCCTGTCCACTCACGTCATGTTCCAGCATCGGCTAGGGGGTGCGCTTTGGGGTGCGCTGTGGGGGTTCTCACGCAGGTGCTCACACTGCGGGTCACGGGCCACAGCCTCTGGCTCGGTCCCCCAGGCCGCCGCCTCCCCCCAGGAGCGGCTGCAGGGACAGAGCAGGCACCGCGGCCCTGACCGCGGGCCCTGGGGCCCATCTCCATCTGGGGTGCCGGCCCCAAGCTCACAGCTTGGCTTCGGGGAGCACAGGTATCGTGAGGGGTGACGGCCCAGGCGGCAGCCAGCCTCCCCCCGTCACAGCATGGAGCTTAATGGCTCACTTTCAAAATTACAAAGTTGGGGCTCCCAGGGTGCAGCACTGGGAGGTGTCCCAGCCCCTGCCATGCGAGCCCACCCAGCCAGGGAGGGACCCCTGGGCCCAGCAGGCCCCCCTGTCTCCCCGCTGCCCCCTCAGCCGTGGGCTTCAGGGAATCTGCCTGTTCCGCTCCCCGCTTTGAGTCTGGGAAGCAATAAGAAATCGCGGGGGGCCCTCCCTGGTGGCGCAGCGGGTTAAAGCACAGCTTAAGCCACTTCCACATGAGTTCGATCCCCGCCTGCCCTGAGGTGACCCACATGGCGCGGCAGACCTCTCCTGACCCGCCCGCTGCTCCCCTCAGCAGTGTGCTTCATCGATCTGCCTGTTCTGCTCCCCACTCTGTCTCTGGTGAATCCTCTCACCCTCCACATCTCTGGCCTGTACCCCAGTTCTGTATGAATAAATAAATAAATCTTTTAAAAAAAAAAAGAAATCGTGGGGAGACCTCCCTGGAGGTGCAGGGGCTGAGTCTCCGTGTTACGAAGCCGTCCCCTGTCTCCCGCTGCCTCTCTGCCTCGGGGGGGGGGTGCTCTCATGCCCCCACCTCTGGGCTGCACCCCAGTTCTGTATGCATCAGTAAATAGGTCATAACCCCCCTGTCCTGACCGTGTCGGCCGTGCGTGGCCTGTCCGGGGCCCTGTCACTCACACCCGGGACGCCGAGGTGGACGGACGGGCCGAGACAGCCCCGGTGGACGTCCCCGGTGTGCGTGTGTGGTGTGAGGGGGTGTCGTGAGTCGGCGGGACGCCGAGAGCCCGTCGCAGTCAGCGAGGACAGTAAATGCGACATCTGAATTCCCGAAGGACAGCGCGGGCGGGGACAAGGAGGCCAGGTCAGCCGCTGGCCTCCAGCAGGGAGGGTTTAGCTCAGCGGAAGGAACAGGACATCGGAAGGACGCCCGGGGCCCGGGCGGGGGTCGCCACCCTGGCGCGTCTCTGTGGATATGTGCCCAGACCCCTCCTGGCCCGCCCGCCGCCCCCCTCAGCAGCGCCTCACTGATCCGCCTGTTCTGCTGCCTGCTGTCTCTGGGGAGCCCTCACCCCCCACCTCTGGTTGCACCCCAGTTCTGTACGAATAAATAAATACATCTTACAGTGCCTGTCTGGGCCTGTGGGCTGCCCCCTGCCCCTGCAGCCCAGTCGCCCCAGCGGGGGGGGGGTGGGGGGGGCCCCAGGGCACAGTAGACCCCTCTATCTACCGCTGCCCCTCAGCCATTCCGGGGTCCGCCGGCTTTGCTCCCCGCTCTGTGTGTGGGGCGCCCCCTGCTGCCCCCCACTCGGGCCTGCACCCCAGCTCCTGTGCGCACACGTAAGTAAATCGCCAAAAGCATCCACTACATGAGTGACAGCACCCCGACCTGCAGGCCCTCGGCGGGTCACCCCCTTTCTTTATTTCTGTGCTAATGTTCTCAGCATCAGAAAACCTTCGTCTGAGCCTGCGCTGCCTGGCCGGGGTTGCCGGGGAAGTGGGGGGCGGAGGGGGAGCGCCCG